GGGCCCCGAGCGGGGGTCAGGCCGTTTTCCGCCTGCACAAGGATCGGTTCCCACGCACCTGGAGCCGTTGGTTTCAGCCTTTAGTCTTCATGTTTTACATGCGCCCCGCCTTGGCAGTCGGCCGCCCCATTTTGGTTCGGTGTACAGCCTCTCCCCCTTCCCCTCTCTTCCTCGGCAGCTGTTTGGCTCGTGAGGTCTCGTCTCGCACGATCTCTTGAGCTGCATCTCCCGCGCCAACCTTCCGACCAAGCGATGGCGCCCAAGTTCTCGAAGCCCGCGCCGATGCCGTGGCCTGCTGTGACGCGCGCCGACTCGCCCAGTCACGATGCGGCGCCTCTTCGCGAGGCGTTGGCGGCGAAGGCTAAGGCGAAGGCTGAAGCACGCACGAAGGCCAGCGGTGCGACCGCGGCCGACGCGCCCACTTCCAAAGCGGGGCCTGCGCAGCGCCCTGGCCAGCAGGTGAGCGCGTCGGAGAGCGAAGGTGTCTCGGACGAGGGGTTCGACGTGATGTCTGAGGCGGCGACCTTTCGGACGGCGCCGACACTGCCCACGGGATCAGTGACGCCTGCCGAGGGCGCCGACGGAGGCAGCGGTACGGGGGCCGCCCCCAGCGCCGCTGCCTCCGAAGGTGCCTCGGACGGAGGCCCCACGGCGGCGGCCGAGGCGCCTGCTGAGGCCTCCGCGATGCCCACGTCGGCGGTGGTGCCAGTGACGAGGGCTGCCCCGGCAGCGCCAGCCACCTACCCCAACTTCACCACGGAGCAGCGCCGCGGGTTGGACGCGATCACCCTCGCGCTCCACAACCTCCAGCTGCGGGAACAGGCCGTGGGCGGCCGCGGCGGCCGAGGTGCGCGCAGCGACGCCGATGGCGGCCGCTCCGTGGACGATGAGACCGCCAGCGAGGCCCCGAGTGCAGCGACCACGGGCGCCCTCAGCGGTCATGGAGGCAAACGCCACCGCCGACGCAGCAACAAGGCCGCCTACGGCCAGGCCCCCCCCACCGAGCGGCGGCACACCTGCCGCGCTCGAGGACGCCGGGATGATGGCGGACGAGGACTACGCCGAGGCGGGCTACGCCCACTGCGTGGGTGCGTACTGGGTCCCGCCGCAGCGCCTGGGCTGGTGTCGGGCGCGCACAGAGCTGGACGACCGGAAGGTCATGATGGTGGAGTACGTGGACGAACTCAGTTGTGGTGAGATGCGCCGCTACGCTGAAGCTTCAGGGCGCAACCAGAAATGCCCCGATCTGCGGAAGGGTGCTCAGGGCCAATACAAGCTATGCACGTGCTCGCGCTGCGTGGCGGCGACGCAGAACATCACCGAGCACGAGGCCGCGACGCGCGCAGCGCGCCTGAACAAGGGCGCAGTCTCCATCGACCACGCCGCCAAGCGAGTGGCGAAGTTCCGTGCGAGCTTCGACCACATCAAGGAGGGCATGGACGTGCTGGTAGGGTTCGCGCTCTCCGAGGAAGGCTTGCTTGCCCTGCGGAAGTCAACGGAGGGCGCAGGGGTGGGCATCGGTCCCGAGAGCACGGGCGCCCCCCCAGCCGCGGAAACGGTGGCGGAGGAGGTCGGTCGCCCGATGGCGATGGCGGTGGGGGCGGCGCCGGGGCCGCCCCGCGCGCCACCTCCACCCCTCGAGGATGGACCTGGCCCCGCAGGCCCTCCCCGTGGCGATGAGAGCGCCCCCCCGCCCGACAACGATGCTGAGGACCAGGAGCACCAGCTGACCGACGTCAAGACCGTGGAGGAGGTCACGGATATCGAGCCCCTGCTGCGGCTCGGCCTCTCCAAGAAATCGCTGAAGCGCATGGCGCGGGCCTATGGCGTCCTCAAATTCGAGACCATGCGCACCCACATGCTGGGAGGCCTGGGGCCCATCCTGGAGAAGAAGGAGGACATGGTGAGGGGCACAGAGGCGCAGGACGGGGTCCAGAAGTGGCTCGACGCGCTGAATGAGGAGGCAGGGGATGATGTGGGAAGGCTGAAGAAGGGCCTCCTGGAAGCCTCGGGGGTCGCGGACGCACACCTGGGACACAAACGTGCCTGGAAGGAGGAGTGCCAGGGCAACACCACGGCGCAGGAGGCCTACCGACGCATGGGCGACTACACGGACCAGTTCTACCGTGGTAAAGGCTTCACGTTCAACATGTACTACAAGTGCTCGGCCAACAAGACCTGGGACAATCCCAAGGGATGCTGCTCGGTGATCCGCTCGGATCGCTGGACGCAACTGCTCACCTGCGCGCAGGAGGCGGCGGGGGAGACGGGCCAGCGCTGGTACTGCCATTGTGGTGCGCGCTACGCGACCTCCTACGGCGTCTGCATCGAGTTGATAGAGGAAGAGCAGAACCCGCCACGTGCTTACTACATGCACGCGGAACACCCCGAGGAGGACATCCGCGACTTGAAGGCCCTGCTGCGGTACGACAAGATCAAGAGGGAGGGGGCAGCGGTGTTCAGCGCTGTGGACCTCCTGAAGCACCTGCCCAAGGTCGAG